GTAATTCAAATTATAAGGACATAATTATCCTTGAAGACTTTAATCTTCCTTCAATTAAATGGTTAAATGGTTCTGGCTTTTCAGATTTAACAGTTGAAAGCAGTTTTACTGACGTATTGCAAGATTCAGGATTATTTCAACGAATACTTGATTAAGAACAATGCCGTTACAGATGAAGAATCTGTTAGTTTAAAGTCTGACCACAAAGCCATTAGCATTGCAGACTTAGCATTATAAGGAAATTTAAAAAGCCTGAAAAACGATCGGTCTACGACTCAGGGATCGGGTGATAAAGTCCGAGTTATTGAAATCCCAGTCAATAAAAACCCTTTATTTATCGGTAGAATAAACAGTTTTAAGACCTTTTAAGCCACCGTGTGTGCAAGTGGCGGACACTTTATGAAATATTGGGGAGGGGGGTCGTGCCGAACGCACGGAAAGTTTTTAAATTTGAATCCCGGAAATGGCATTTGCAGCATTCTTAGCCTGCGTGCAGGCCCAAGGGAACTTGATAGTGGGCCTGCAACCATCGCCCGGTATTTTGAAATACGCCCCTTTTCATAACACGCCCCATTCGCGCGGTAATTGTCAAAAAAGAACCAATGACAGCACCCAAATATTAACAAACAAAGTCGAATTAAAATGTTGCGGGGTTTTCTCTGCTTATTCAGAACACTAATAAACAATGTGTATTAAAATGGCTGCGTTTTAACTCCAAAAAAGCAAGCAACGCAGTCAGTAATTGCCAAATTTGCAAGTGCTCATTTTCAACTAAAATCGGAACAGGCAAATTAGGACGAATTTCAACAGAAAACCAGTCTCAAACTTCAAATCATGAGGGAAGTCGTGCGACCACATTAGGATTTATATTATGTGTGCTTCGCTGTCGCCATTGGCATTGTTATAAATAAATTGTCTCACTTATCAGATCGTGTGTGCAATTCTTGTTGGCGGCGGAAAGTACGAAATTTATTTCATTTGGTAAAGAACTCTACAAAAGAAGAGAGTGTTCCGAGTCCAGATCGTTTCGTTTCAAACGGCAATTTAATACCGCCTTCTGTTTCGCTCTCTCTGCGAAGCCTTGTAAATCGCAAAGTGTTTCGAATAGGCTTACAGTTCTTACATGCAACTGCATCTCAACATTGACCAAAAGATAATTTTCTTGAGGAAGTGAGAACACATAACGTATCAACTGAAGTCTGTTTGAAATTAATGAAACTCAAGTAAAGGTTACTATAGTTTACCCCAGTCGTAATGTTGCTATTCCAACACCTCACGACAAGCAATCCCCATTGGCATAACGGCAAAAACATGTCTTCCTTCAAGTAAACAATAAACAGTCTGTTCTTGTTCCATTTGTAATCGAAAAAAGTGATCAATTTTCAAATTTTAAGCTTATTGAGAGCCTTTGTCTATGCCTTTGTGATGAATCACTGTTCCCTTGTGCCTGCACAATGGGCTAGGTTAATTAATTACCGATCGCCTCAGCTAGCCAATGGGAATTTAGCCGGCGGTTCGGCCGGCGAAAATGGAAAACATGGGGTGATGGTTGCAGGCCCACTATCAAGTTCCCTTGGGCCTGCACGCAGGCTACAGCATTCTGAGAGACGCATAATCAGAAAACCCAGAATTCCGGGCGCCAGAGTATGCCTGTTCGCAGGTAGTGCTGTGAATAATATAGTTAACAACAAAAATCATGACCAAAGACACCAAAAACGGATCAAAATTGTATTTTAAAATACTTAAAACGTAGAAAAATTGAGAATTGACTGGCATTACCTCAATCCCATTCCCATTTTTGAGGACTTCGTTTCCCATTCGCAGTGGCCAAATCCCAGTCCCAGCAACCCAAATCCAATTTTCCCAGTCTAAAAATAGATCAATACCAGTTCCCATTTTACCCCTTCAGGGCCCTCAATACTGTATTTTGTGTCCAGCATTCGCAAATGTTTTTGTTTCTCTGCTGTCGAAAATTCACTGCTGGCGAGCAACGATGCAAATCAATTCAAGTTTTGATAGATTTCAAATTTGACAGTTCTTGATCAACGAGCATGGCCAGATAACGAAATTGGATATACGCATTGTCACTGGCTAATACCCCATCACGTGTTCGGCCGTTTCACTTCCATCTTTATTTTTTATTTTTTCTCCACCGTATTTTAAATTTCGGTTCTTTCTCGGTAGCCCTTCGGAGTATCATCCTGTAAAACAAATTAATGTCAAAGATGAACATAAATTGTCGCGCCTGCGATAAGCTAATAATATATACCGCTTTCAACATTCAAAATGGCGCCCGATGAAAACATTTACATGTAATTAAAAGGTTAATATAAATTTACACAAATAATTCTGGCGTGCTCCCTTGGCCTTGCTTCATGCAAGAATTTGGTCCTATCTCGTCACGTGTGTATTGTATTTTCGCTCAAATAACCAATAACAAGTTTGTGGTTGAGTTATCCATCCGTAACTTGAATAAATCCTCAATTTAAACATTGCTATTGGTTGTGCGGGAAAAAATACAATACACAGGTGAAGAGATAGGCCCAAATTCTTGCATAAACCGAAACAAACATAGTTAATGAGTTATATGGTACTTTCATCGAGTCTCCAAACCCGTATTCTATTAATTAACTGTGATCTGAGATAACTGTTGCTGTTCCTTGCACGATTATGTGCGTGAGGCACTTGTCTAATGCGTAGTCGGCAGGGAGACAAACGGTGTGACCCTTGCTAACGGGCGATTAGAACTAATTGCCCGGTGCAGCGGGCGCGTTAGTAATCACCCCGTTAGTAATCGCCGATTAGTTAGTAATCGCCCCTGTTGAAACAAAAGAAACCCGCGCAACTATGCTATTATTTTATTAAATAGAACAATTATTAGAGTTCATAGAGTATATATAGGCGGAACTATCCCTTCCAGTTATTTGTTTGTCACTGTAATTGTTATTAAACCGTAGGCGTAATCATGTCATTGTTGAAATAATTCCCTGGCCATTCCTTCTGGTTGTTATATGATAAAATACGATAATTGCAAACAACTATAGTGTTCATGAATGCAGCGTTTGTAAACTAAAATCGTTAGCATTTAATCATCCACGTCTAGGTAGTTCCCGTGATAGACGTGTTTCCACAGTCAATTCGATGCATCATACATTGTAATTTGCCATACATGACATGAGATCGAAAATCATTGAATGGTCCATCATACATTCGTGTGATGCTATAAACTGCGGAGCTCGCGATGATCTTTCCGAGTTTGATCTGTTAAAACAGCTAACAAAAGCTAGCAAACTAGTTCCAAAATCGCTTGAAAATTACCCATCTTCATAGGTTTTACAGACGTCAATATTGCATCTTCGACCCTCTTTTTTATGCTTTGTCGAGCAGCCATTTTGTTTGTTTACATTCACAATCGTTCCTAGTCTCTTACTGCGCAAAAAAGAGAGATTTGAGTGATCGTGTGAAGTCTCTTTCGCGTTTGAACCAGTAATTTATACGTGCATAAATTTGGCGGGCATTTCAAAATATATTCGCGGAAAATATTAAAGATGTCATTGGTTCTGGAAGATTATAAAAAGAGAATATTAGATTGGAAAATAAAGTTTAATTCTGAACCTCCTCTCAGTTATGTAAGGCAACATAGGGATTTATTGAATGAGATTTTGTTTTGTGTGGGGATTCCTTGACCTTTGCTGCGGTTATCCCGACAGTTCGCGGTCTTGTTTTTTTAATTTCTTATTTTCGTCAAAAATGATATCCACCGAACATAACTGAATTATGAAAAAAAACTGCAAAGTACAGAGCCTTTCCCCAAAGATCGAGTGGCCATCTTGTTTTCTAAATTAATTATGAAGCGATTATCCGGTGACAAAACGCAGCCGCAAAATGTCCAGCATTTCTGGTAATGGATATGTTGTATCGTCATTTCTTAGTGCGGAAAGGAGACAAATTATCTTGGTCATATACTCTCGAGTATTTTTGAGCCTTTCCTGACACGGTTGAACTCAGCGGCTGAACCATAAGTTCACCAGTCTTTAAAACAGCCGATCTTTCTTTTTTCCTTCCTTTTGCCATTCGCTTATCCTTCACATTTTGTTTAATTCAAAAATTCTTCCAAGCTTGATTGCTCATCTTTGAAGATAGAATATACAACACGAAGCGTGCGTGTTTACTGTTTCCAGTGAGCTCTATGTATATCTGTACTGTTTCTTGTAACACATCATATTGGCGCATTGCATTATGGTATACTGTGACAACGATATATATGTGACCGGGACGTAATAGATTCGTGAAAACTGTTTATAATTTTCTTTTTTCTTTTGAACATGTACCCCAAAATACGAGGGCGACGGTTACAAGCTATAAAAGTTAATCAATATAACTAAGTAAACAAAATATTAAAATACACACTTCCTGTATCCTACAATAAACATTCCGATTTATCAAATACAAAGTAATATATCTCCCAAAAGTTGATGAAACCATAAATATCTCCGTCTATAATGTCAAACTGAAGGCAAATCATGCACCGTTCTAAAGAACTATTTACATAAATTACTCAAAATGACCATACTTCAACAGCTATTACGATTAATATATTCATGCGTATATTTTTATACCTTTAACATGATTATAATACATCAATACTTCTATAATTACTGGATAATAACGTTAACTTACCGGGCAACTGCCCGAGAATGTTAATTCCCTTTTATTGTTGTTCTTTTCTTCGATATAAATGTTTCTTTGACGATAAAATACTGAATAATATCTTTTGAAATCGCTTTTATATTTTTTCAACTGCATTTTGCAGCATGGCGTGTTCATGACGTCACAGGAAGTGATCATAACAGGAAGTTAACTAACAATAACTATTAAGGTGTCTCTGAGTCTCTCTACAGTTTATTCAACCTGGCCACACTCTCCCCTGCTAACAAGGTGTCGTCCTCGACCTAACTATATAACTGCAGAGATCACGGAAATGCCAGTTATAAGCACACATATAACTAGGACATAAACATTAAAGTCTCGATACGATACCATCAGTTGATTGCATGTTGGATTTGATTTGCTTTGATGAGTGTTCTGTCTTTTCGCCGCTATCCGTTTCGATCTTCGGAGAGTTGTTGCTGGATCATTGTCTGGAGTTGCTTGAATTTGTTCGCCTTTGGAAGTGGATATGTGATGCTTTCTGGGTGACGAAGGGGTATTAACGAGCAACATAAACTCCGATTCGGTGTCAGTTGAGGACGTATCTTCATGAATGGCTCGGTTGGGAACGCATTTAATCGTCGTTGGTTGTATCGGTTGAGGAGGGTCACTCTTCATGGGGCATGGTTGTAGTTCAACACGACTGACCTTCTTTGGGGCACCTCGACCACTATAGGGTACGACAGTATATGGTCCACCATCTTTGGTCGGTACTTCAGTCACGGTAAACATGGTAGGTTCCCATGCATCTTGGATCTTGTTTCGCCCCAAAACTCTTTTTCGTAGGTACACTAACTCCCCAACTTTGATATCTGGCGCATACACCTTTGAATCGTTTCTTTGCTTTCTCTTCTCTGCTGACTCGCGTATATGCTCCCCTGCTTTTTCCCAAGCGTACCGTAGGCGGGTTTGATGTTTAGTAAGCCACTCATTCGCAGACTGTTTCTGAGGTTCATCCTCTTCTTCTCCGAGGAGTAAGTCAACTGGTAACCTTGGTGATCTCCCGAAAAGAAGATGATATGGGCTGTAACCGGTTGTACCATGCGGGGTACAGTTGTAGGCATACAGTAACTCAGGAAGGTACTCGGTCCATCGACGTTTCTTTTGAGGAGGCAAGCTCTTAAGCAAATCATGAAGTGTGCGGTTAAACCTTTCACATTGTGCGTTGCCTTGTGGGTGGTAAGGTGTTGTGCGGCTCTTCTTTATACCATAAATTCGACACAGTTCCTGAATGATTGCACTCTCGAAATTCCTGCCTTGGTCCGAATGGATCCGTTCCGGTGTGCCGTACTTTTGAAACCACTCCTTGACAAGCACTTTGGCAACTGTGGATGCTTTTTGATCTTTCGTGGGTACTGCTAACGAAAACTTAGTGAAAACGTCAGTCATTACCAGTACATTTTCTTTTCCATCACTCGAACGTTCCAACAACGTAAAGTCAATGGCAAGAACTGACAGGGGTTGTTCGGTAATAAGGTGCCCCATTGGTGTTCGAATACGCGGTTGTGGCATCTTGGACAAAACACATCGTTCACAAGACTTGATCCATTTCTCGACATCTGTGTACATACCTGGCCAGTAGCATCGAGATCTAGCTAGAAGAATAGTTCTCTCTAAGCCCTGATGTCCCATGTCGTTGTGAAGACTGCGAATTACTCTCTCCTTTAGAATCTCAGGTAGCACCAACTGTTGTACCTCCTGCTGTTGTGGATCAATAATCGTTCGGTACAATACTCCGTCCTTCAGTTCTAACCGTTTCCATTGCTGTAACAAGACACGGGTACCAATAGTGAGATCTTTCTTCTCCTTTGCATCGGGTTTCCTACCAACTGTCCAAAATTTCAGGAATGCGCTTATCGTTGGATCACTTTGTTGCATCTGCATTAACTCGGACTTGGAGTAACTTGGAAATGACTTCGTTCCTGACTTAGGTACGTTATGTTCTGTGTTGATAGCGTTGTTTGCCACATACGTTTGCTGAGGACCTTCAAGGGTTATGTTTGCACTTTTTTCCAAAGTGGCAGTAGCTAGGTGGGGTGGAAAGGCTGTTGTATTGGAGGAATGAGCCAAGGTATTCGTTACTTCCACCACCGACGAAAGTTTGTCTGGGCAATCATGGTGAGGGAGGCGCGACAATGCGTCGGCATTAGCATTCGATTTTCCCGAGCGATAAACAATGTCAAATTTGAAAGATGCCAACTGCGAAGCCCATCGTTGTTCTACTGCTCCAAGTTTTGCCGTTTGAAGATATTTCAGGGGATTATTGTCAGTATAAACGGTGAAGTTGCTTCCTAACAGATAACTGCGGAACTTGTCGGTTACGGCCCATTTCAAAGCCAACATTTCTAACTTCATGGAGCTATAATTGTCCATATTGCGTTCAGTTGGTCTTAGTCGTCTACTTGCGTACGCAATAACACGTCTCTTTCCTTGAAGTTCTTGGGAAAGAACCGCACCAAGTCCTTGGTGGCTAGCATCAGTCTCGAGTATGAATGGTTGCGAGAAGTCTGCATATCCCAATACTGGCGCAGTTGTCAACAAATGCTTAAGCCTATCGAAGGCTTGTTGATGAACAATTTTCCAACGCTTTGGGAAGGGTACTAACAGATGTTTCTTTAGTTTCAGTTCGTGTAAACACCGGTTCTGTAATTCGTGCAGTGGGTCAGCGACCTTGGAGAAATCTTTTACGAAGCGACGATAGTAGCTAGCGAATCCAAGAAACGAACGAAGTTCTTTCACGGTCTTGGGTACCGGCCAATTTTTCACCACGGATATTTTGTCAGGGTCAGTCGAGACACCGTCAGATGAAACCACATATCCCAGATACGAAACTTCTTTTCTAAGAAAACTGCATTTCTCTCGCTTTATCTTTAACCCATGTTGCGCTAGCCTCGTTAAAACTTTTTCCAGTCTTCCCAAGTGTTCGTCAAATGTTTTTGAGAAAACAATAACGTCATCGAGGTAAACCAACAACAGTTGATAGATCTGGTCGTGAAGGCAGCTTTGCATCAGTCGCTGAAACGTTGCAGGGGCACCACAGAGGCCAAACGGCATTCGATTATATTCAAACAGTCCAAACGGGGTAGTGAATGCGGTCTTCGGTTTGTCTTCCTCTTCGACTGCGACCTGATTAAAACCGCTTGCAAGATCCAATGTTGTAAACCACTGTGCACCATTGAGAGCATCAAGTGACTCGTCTATCCGGGGTAAAGGGAATGAGTCCTTTTGCGTTCTTAAGTTGAGCTTTCGATAATCAACGCACAGGCGAAGGGAGCCGTTCTTCTTTCTCACTAACACAATAGGAGATGCATAAGGGCTGTGACTTTCGCGAATGACTGAGCTATCAAGTAATTTCTGAATGTGTTCCTTCACCTCTTGGTATTGATTTGGAGGAATTCGTCTGTAGGGTTGCGTAACCGGGATGTCATCCTCCGTCCTAATTTTGTGTTTAACCGTCTCCGTGTAGCCAATGTCATCGTCTGACTTTGAAAATACGGAAGCATGCTTGTTCAACAGTGCGTCCAGTTTTTCTTGCTGCTCTGGGGAAAGTCCGTTGCAAGGACATTCAATATTGTCCACGACGTCTGGAATTGATGTGTTCTCGCTATCTTGCACCGTAACCATTTCTTCGTTGACTGACACTCTCTTGAATTCCACACCACTTTCGGTGTTGCTGACTGCGTGAAGAACACCTATCCTTGTCCTTGGCTGGATCCACAAATCGTCATTGGTTAGATTTGCAACTCTCACACAGAAGGGGGATGACGGTCTCACGAGGGTGTTAAGTACCATCAGGTGCGACAAATGTTGTCCAACAACTGGTTCCACCATTGCCATCTCGCACTTCACTTGACCACCCCAACCAGTGGCAGGTATTGTTGTTACCGAACTAGCTGGGATCCGTACTGCACGCTTTCCTGCAACTCGAACGATACCTCGTACTGATGTATTCGCACGACGTTTAGCAGCCTGGATTGGCTGTGACCATACAGGATCAACTTTACTTAAAAATTCCGTTCCCTCGAACTTAGCTAACACTTGTCCCATTTCACATAGTACATTCATTCCAAGGAGACCTGGTACGTCTCTCTTCCGTGCTCTCATAGCATCATTGGCAGAATCCTTTACGACCAGTATTCCTCGTCTGGGCACGTTTAAGCCGAAAGCTTCAATGTCAAGTTCGAAATACCCAAGGTAGGGTATTTCTAACCCATTTGCTGCTGTCAGTTTTAACCACCCACTGGTTGAAAGTAGTTCCTGTCCCTTTGGTTTAAAATGAGTATTAAAGAATTCTTCTGTAATAGTAGAGACCTCAGAGCCTGAATCAAGTAAACATGATACAGACACGCCTCCAATGTTCACAACAGCAACAGGACACTTGCCAATTATTCTTTCTGGTATGCTATGAGAGTCTGCGCCTTCCCCTCCTACTGTCCGACTCGCGACTGTGGAGGGAGACCGTTTGGCGCTGACGTATCTTGGCTATGGACATACGATGAGGGTGGGGCAGTATTGCGTGGTGGGCCATTGGATGGGGGAAGGGCGTCATTCTGGCGTTGACTTGTATTATTCACACAATCTCTTGCAATGTGTCCGACTCCTTGGCATTTAAAACAAATTCTGTTCCCTCTTTCGTCAAAACCGCGGAGGGAGGGGTTTCGGCCGCCTCTTCCTCCCTGATGCCGCTGAATATTATTGTTGGATCTGGAAAGGGAGATAAGGGTTTGGGACAAATTATCAATCGACTTACGCTGCTCTTCGAGGGCTTGCAATACTTTATCCATCTCTTTGTTTGACTGTGTGGTTGAAACTGCTTCACTTGATACATTTCTTTTTGTAGGACGCATCTTTTCATCCTCCTCCGCCCAGTGTAGAGTTTCTTCTCGTACTTCTAGAAACTTAGAGCTGGAGTTGCTTCGTACCATGCGCTTTAATTCCTTCCGTAGAAGTGGGTCTCTCACGTTGTCAGCAAATTTGTCGCGGAGGGCCTGATCACGAGAAGGTATGATGGTGGTGTCTCGCGAATAAATTCGGTTGTAAATCTCACACAGCGCATGCGAGAACTC